AAGCAGCCTACTTATAAACACAGGTCTACTGATAACAATTTATTACATAAATCTATGCTGTGATACCCCCTAATCATATTAGATGCATATTTATCACAAAATATTACTCTTCTGGTGAGATATTGCGCATGTACGCTAACACACTAACGCAGCCAGATTGTATACTGACTGGTATATGCAGCCGGGGCCTTACATGCAATTTATTTTGCCTATTTCTTAAGTGAGGTATATTGATAGTAATTTTGATGGAAACATGAATTTGTTGATGATACAGAACCCCAAATTGTATCTGCACAGTGTGCAGCTGTGGGCTGAACGAGGGTCAAAGGGGAGAGCGGGAGGGGATGAAGTAGCAGTTTTGCACCCTACAACCTAGGGCGCTGTCCTAATTATAAACACAGGTATACTGATAAAAATTTATTACATATATTTATGCTGAGATACCCCCTAACCATATTAAATGCATATTCATCACAAAATATAATTTCTCTGGTGAGATATTGCGCATGCGCTAACACACTAACGCAGCCAGATTGTGTACTGTCGGGTATATGCAGCCGGGGCCTTACATGCAATGTCTTTTGCCTATTTCTTAAGTGAGGTCTATTGATAGTAATTTAGATGAAAACATGAATTTGTTGATGATACAGAACCAAAAATTGTATCTGCACAGTGTGCAGCTGTGGGCTGAGCGAGGGACAAGGGAGGCAAGGGGGAGGACGGGAGGCGAAATTTTTTTTTCCCATTTCAGTTCCGGACCCACCATAGATAGTGTTTTGTAATATATGGTTCGTATATATATGGTTGGATTATAGTTAGTGTTAGGGTTCGGGTACGGCTTAGGGTTAGAGTTAGGGGTGGGGTATTCATTTTACATTGTTGCTTCGAGGAAGTCGAGTGAATGGAGTGCGCTGATTGGCTGTGGTCCGGAACTCAAGTGGAAAAAAAAATTCGCGGGCGGGAGGGGATGAAGTAGGAGTTTTGCACCCTACAACCTAGAGCGCTGTCCTAATATTAGAAACACAGGATACCGATAAAAATTTATTCCATATATTTCTGCTGAGATACCCCCTAACTATATTAAATGCATATTCATCACAAAATATTACTCCTCTGGTGAGATATTGCGCATACGCTAACACACTAACGCAGCCAGATTGTATACTGACTGGTATATGCAGCCGGAGACTTACATGCAATGTCCTTTTCCTATTTCTTAAGTAAGGTCTACTAATGGAATATTACCATATATATCTATGCTAGGATGACTCCTCTTCATTTTAAATGCATAATGATTGCAAAATATTCTTCTTCTCTGGAGATATTGGGCATGCGCGAGCACCGTTTTAGACGTGCAATACGGACTGAAGAAAACTGCATAAGCTTGCTGAAAGAAAGAGGGGTAGGTGACTGAAGAAAGGCGGCAGAGAGGATAGCCGAAAGCGGCAGAACAAGAAGGAGGCTGAGCGAGGGACCATGGAGGCAAGAGGGAGGACGGGAGGGGATGAAGTAGGACTTTTGTACCCTACAGACTAGGGCGCTGTCCTAATTATAAACACAGATATACTGATAATATTTTGTTACATAAATCTATGCTGAGATACCCCCTAACCATATTAATTGCATATTCATCACAAAATATAGCTCCTCTAGTGATATATTGCGCATATATATATATGCTAGAATAACTACTCTTCATTTTAAATGCATAATGATTGCAAAATATTCTTCTTCTCTGGAGATATTGGGCATGCGCGAGCACCGTTTTAGACGTGCAATACGGACTAAAGAAAACTGAATAATATAGCTTGCTGAGAGAAAGAGGGGTGAGAGACTGAAGAAAGGCGGCAGGGAAAATAGCTGAAGGCGGCAGAAGAAGAAGGAGGCTGTCCTCGGGACAAGGGAGGAAAGGGAGCAATTTATTTCATATATCTATGCTGAGATACACTCTAACCCCAGAGAGAAACTAGACAGAGGGCACTCACGGAGATTGCATACCTCCGCCAGCATGTAACATGTATGTGTTACGAGCTGGCTCGCTACGCTGGCTGGCTGGCTGGCTCGCTGGCGCGCTAATATCGATCGCGCAAACACACGAACACACTAACACACGATAGCGATCACATAATTTCCTCCAACTCCGTTAGGTGGAGGTAAACAGACAGATTCCAGCGCTGTTGTAACTGAAGGTCAGGTCTCCCGCCACGCTACAGGAAATTTTAGTATGACTAGTGAAGTATTCGGATCGAGAATCTTTTGTGTCAAATTGCAGGGCCTGCAGTGTAAGCATCGGCAGGGTATGTATTATATAAATTAACAGCGCAATTTCACTACAATAATATATCATTCAACATAATGCTTGAAGTTGATGGTTATATTTATGGATTATGTGACTGGGATGATGATTGGGTTCGGATTTAGGTTAGGTTTATGTGGAGATGATTAAAATTTGTTGTTCTAATCATTTTCTATATGTAATATATTGGATATAAATGATAAACATAATATAAACACGGCAATACCCAATACACCGAAATAATTCGAAATAATATCGAAAGCTGTTTGTGTTTTCTCTATGATTCCGCTATTAAAGCTATTATATTCTCTATGATTATGCTAAGCGGCTGCCATGCACGAGACATGATGCGGCCATGATGCCGAGGCGCGTCGAAGATTGACACTTTGTGTCTTCCAATCACAGCTTACGCCGCACCGGTCTCTTATATTTTTAAATATGGGGACCCATTGGACCACTAAATCGTCGATCTCAGGAACTAGTGCATTCTGCTAGGCTAGAATGGTTTCCTACGATAGAGTTTGGCACAAATACGAAAATAACACGCTGTTTAGCGCACTGCGCTACGTCCTTCTGTTGCATTTTCGCATATCCGTAATCAGAATAAGCCCCGCCTTCTTCGTTGATGGGCATGAATGGGGCGTCAACGACGTGACCCGTTACTGCGTGTAGGTGTTTGGCGAGACTGTTTGCTTTTCGTAAATAATGAAAGACCCGGCCGATGCATTTCGCACCGAAGTGGAAAAATTAGGCATTTTTACCCGTTTTCGGAAGTGAACGAGTGCGTCATTCATTGAACATTAAAGTTTTTCTTAAAATTAAATAATTCCGAAAATCCCTAACCGCACTACTCGATTGTTTTAGCCAAAGAACGTAGCTGTGTGCGTGACGTCTTGCCCGCGTGCTTTATGCTTGGCTTAGCAGGCCTCAAAATGGATATCGGAGGACGCACCTCGCAACACGCGTGTTTGTTTACATATAGCTTTGGCTGATAGGCTCTATGTCCCCCAAAGTACGTAACTATTGGAGGGTACCCTGGGTACGGTTCGATATATCGAAAAGTATCTCGGGGTACTATGCGATATATATGTCGCTGCGTACCCTGCATTGTTTCACCGTACCCTGACTTTCAGCCAACTGATCATGAAAATCATGCAGAACCATATACATATGGTTTTGCAGAAAAATGATAATATTTAGTGGATGGCAACATTTTACGCTTCTCCCCTATAGGCCTACTGGTGGGTGAAATATTACCGCCGCCAGGTATTGCCGCCATCACGTGCATATTGATTTTTTTTTATTTGATGTCAATATCAAAGCATTTTTATTTATGGTAATGATAGTATTACAATGATAACATTAAACTACGAGACTACTATAGCTTTTATAAATTTTTCTAAATTATTTATATTAATTGATGATTCATCAATTAATCTCAATATTTCACAGACTGTGTGTGTGAAAGTCAGGGTACGGTGGGGCAATGCAGGGTACGCAGCGACATATCGTATACTACAGGGGTGTATCCAGGATTTTTTCTGGGTGGGTCGTGATCATAATTTTTTGGACCTTTTCACAATGAAATAGCAGCAAGATGTGATTACAATGTCAATACAATCAGGGGCGTGTACAGGATTTGTACCAGGGAGGGGTCTAACCGTAACCCAAACTTGGCAGCACGCAAATTTTTTTGAAATTAGACCTCCTTAGATGCGTTTTCTGCGCGAGCAGGGGGGGTCCGGACCCCCTGGACCCCCCCTGTACACGCCCCTGACAATTTAATTAAAAAAAATATTTTGAACTTTTTGTCTTTATCTTGTCTTGTCTTGATCTTGTCTTGTCTTTGTCTTTGTCAGTCTTTGTCTCTCTTTTATGAAACAAAATTTTCTTTAAAAAAAAGTCTCAGTTTCAGAATTGCTGGAATTGGGATAAATTTACGTCACGCAATTGGCAATGTCTTTGGACTCATTGCTGGTAACTGATCTTTTTCATTTATGTCATTGTAAAAAGGCCCTCGAAAAAAAATGTGTTTGGAAAAAATGTGGACCTTTTAAAATTTTGGGGGGGTCGTACGACCCTCACGACCCCCCCCCTGCATACACCCATGCATAATAGTACCTGTATATTGCTCTTATTTAGCCGCTGATAGTTCTTATTTAGAACAAAGTCTTCATTGTTATCTTCTAAAACTACAGACCATCCGCTGACCGCTGTGGAGGCGTGCGCCGGGCCTCGAATTTGGCGCACGTCTCCACTGCGGACAGCGCTTCATACTTGAACATCCCCACCGTCGCGTGCGCATATCCCGCGGAACTGCGCGTCTCATCCGCGCGCAGCGCTCAGGATCAACAGCAAAGCTGTGTCACGCAATCTTGTATCATGTCTCTCTGGATACCCGTTATTCAGGCATATTATATGCCGGGGTATTCTATTTTTCATAATGTGTCGTATGGTATAAATTCTCCCGTTTCTATTATTGATTTTATCAAGAGCTAATAATATTAATAATATAATAAAAGGTATTATTAGCTCTTGATTTTATCAAGAGCACATGCAAAAACTGTGTTCCGCGCAAACATAACATTGCACGGAGTTTATGTGCTCTTGACTGATTATTTGTTATATCCTTTTTCCGCCTGTTGCAATATTCATTCTCCGTCTCGCCACCGGTGGCGCTGCGATCATCAAACCGAAAGCAAGGATGCGAGCAATACCGCCGAGCATGAGCAGTCAGCTATGAGACAGTCAGTCAGCCGTGGAGCGAGAGAGATAGACACAAAATATCCCTGAACCACTTTACTTGGAATGAGCAAGCTGTGCTATTTACTGGTCAGATATCGCTGACCTTGCTACGAGTATTGTGAGTTCACAAGTTTTAAGACCAACGAACAACGTTATTAGTAATTTCTCGCCTCGCTCATCTAGTGCACAGTTCATGAATTGTTTTGGCAACTTGGGAATCTGCATCAACGGCTTTTTTGCCTCGTTTCTCAGCTGTTTTCTGTGAGCACATGTGGTAATGGTATGAAGGCTTGCAGTGTAGGACTTGCGTGACTCGTGTTATTTGTAAGTAGCTGTATGATTATTAGAGTTTTATACTTACTATTGTAGAACCATGCAGTGTAACACTGTAAAGCGTGGTGGTACTGGTAATACTACTACTACTAGTACCACTACTACTACTACTACTACTAGTATCAGGAGTAAGATAATATAGAACATTCTATATTATCTTACTCCTGCTAGTATCGGTGGTAATACGAATGATAGTTGTAGGTAATCGCGTTCCTAGTCCGACCAGGGGGCCGTTTCACGAAGCGCTCGTTAAGTTAGTGATGGGGTTTAGGGATATCCTTATATATAGAGTGTTTCACGAAAGCCTCGCTAAGTTTCCACGTTTCACAAACGTCTCACTAACTCAACGACGTTGCTAATAAGGTGGAATCTTAAGGGCATTCCAGGGGCACTATACTTAGGCTATCGTACACACAGGCACTTGGGACAGAGTCAGTAAAAACTGAAAATAATATGAACCCACTTTCACAAATACTACCGTATACCTCTCAATTACAGTTGCACTGTTGTGTCACTGTATATCAACTTTCCTTCATAAAAACTAACGCCGAACGCTCCCGCACTCGTCGCTGCGAGTGTGCTGTGTCGCCATTATAATGATAATAATAATGAATATATATTATTATCATTATAATGGCGACTATAAATGCTACTATATATATATATATACTCCTTCTGAATTATGCGTGCGTACATGTGTGGGTCTGTGTGTGCCACTAGCTAAACAACGCTGGCCGGAGCGCCATGATCTTTAAAATTAAGGGTGTGGTGCTGGTATTATATTCTGCACACATGTATAAACCCTGTTGCATAACATCTGATAACATCCCAGCACAAGCATGTCTATTTTACAAACATTTGTAAAAAAAAAATTGCATTGTGTTAGCTTGGTCACAGTTGGGGGGGGGGGGTTAATGCTAAAGTGTGTATGCATCACGGAGCACTAGTTGGTGACTGTTGTTAATTTAGTGCAAAAATGTGTGACCTTCAATTTCTTGCGTTACGCAGTGGCTATAGCCACCCAACTCATGTGCAGTGATATGTCCTGCCCAGTAACAGCTGTGGATGACCTATTCAGGGACTAAATTTACAGCATTGCTGTGGTGTGTATTGCTATAGCTTTTATGAGACTGGTGTACGTAAAATAATATACAAAACTGGTACAGTATTTTAGAATGATAGCACGTGCTGTATATATATATACAGTAATGACACGGATGTTGAATCGTAAATGTAGTGCCTGGTATTTGCAGCTGGTAGTATAGCTGCACGTTTAAACGATCTCTAAGTCAAGTCGTACTGGAGCAAGGATAGGCAATAGCATGTGTGCGAACGTGTAGTTGAAGCTGTGGGGCAGGAGTCTGCAAAAATTTCAAATTCTGCCCACCCTTTAGTAGCAGTATGATGCAACCAGTACTGCACACATAAATAACAAATTCTTCTTACTGTGCACTAGCTCTAGTACTCTATCTACTCTGTACGCGGGCAATAGTACTAGAGCTAACTGTGCACTATATAATATCAGGAGCGTATAATGACAAATATATAATGACAAATATATTTGTCATTATACGCTCCTGATAATATATATATATGCTGGTGAAATGCTGGCATTCTCTGATTTCTGTTTGCTGTGGTGCAGCTACCATGTACAGTGCCACTGAAGTGAAATAATTCGCGCTCGATCCGTTCCCGACACAATTAATTCCCTCCCTCCACATATTCGTATCATTGATTAGTTGCTGCGCCGCCGCCGCGTGATGCTGAACTAACAGGTCAACCTTAGATGTGCCGGCAGACAGCTTAGCGAATTGTGGTGATCGATGCTGATTCATTATGTCATCATCTATGTAGATTGGGCATTCCAGTCCACGGTCTAAAACTAACAAGTACGCCTGCTGCGAGCCTAATACGCAAACACATTTAATTGTGCTTCTTTTAACGATGTGTCGCTCTTCTATTTCATAAAAAAAAAATAATAATGAGTGCGCTGTAGTAATCTGATTTTGCCAAAATACAACTTTTTTTAATTGCAGCATACAGATGTAAATTATTTGCAATTGAAGTGAGCTGTAGGCTAAACTATTTTTATTTCTTCCTTTAAAAAATGCTAATAAAGTATGTGCTAGTCAGCCAGTGTCATGCAAAATAACTCTGGAATTACCCTCCGGGCTCCCCTCTCCTTTCATTAAATTGTGTGACATTTAAAACTACACCATAAAAATTAAGAGTCGATTATGCCAGAAATATTTACAAGGGGTGTTAGATTTATTATTTCAAATTTACACCTGTAGATATGCAAGTGACTCTCCTAATTACAGATGGAGGGTTGCGGGCAAGTACCCTACAAAACTAATGGTGTGTTATTCATGAAGCAAATTTAAAGTATGCGGCAGTTGTAGGTTTGAAAGGCTACTATGTTTGTAGTGTTGTAAACACCAATTGATATAGTAGAATTAAAAGGAAAGTGTTTCAAATTTGTAATAGTCTTCTCCTTGTAGAATCACAAAAACAGTTTTTCATATTTGCATAGCTTCTTAGTAGGTACCTGGTAACACATATTCTGTATGTCATCTATATTACAGTATAAGTAATGATGCTACCGTATTACGTAAATATGTTATCAGAAGTTCAATAATGCATGAATACGATAAATGAATATGATTGCACTTCTGATATGATTTATGTATGCTATGTACCGATATTTGCGGGCGGAGGAAGGGGATTCCTAGCAGAGCTAGTACTAATGACATTTTCAGTAACAATTAAGTAGTGTTGTGGCAGATTTCTAGTGGGAGGAAGTGCAACTGAATCTTGTTTATGAAACTCGGAAAAACATACACAGGATTACTGTTGGTTATAGTGTATATAGTATCAGCTATAAGAGTCGTGCTAAAGATTCTCAGATCATGCCCATTCTCACAGAACGAGCATGCATCAGGGCCGTAGTGGCCGCCACGGCAGCACGGCACTGCCGTGGCACTATTTTGGAAAAAAAATTCTGGAATGTGTATTTAATATGACAATGTGCCTATTCAAATTCAAACTTCAAAACATACAGATGTACATAGTGAAAGTATAAATGCAGATTGAAAATAGGCTTATTTTTCATAATTATGTACTGATTATATACAATTTTGTAAATAATATTTTATTAGTTATCATACTCATAATATATATTTTAGATACTTTAGTCAAAACATCAGCTTTAGCTACATTCCTCTTTGAAATTTACAAATTGACCTTTTAATATGATCAGAATTGGTTGCTTTCAACATAGGCTGAACATGCAAGAAATGCCATTTCCAGGCTCTACATTTCAAGGATTTTCTGGGGGAGTACCAGACCCCCAGCATTGGCTACATATTTCGGCAGTGGCACTTTTTGGGAGGCCACTACGGCCCTGATGCATGACCATGCGAGTGTTGATTTTAGCAGCTGGGAAGAAGGTTCAGTACTGAGCAAAAAGCGTGGAAGGTGGGGATTAGCAAAATGCAAAAAGCAATTGTAATTAAGGACTTTTTCATGGTACTCTTTAATGGAAATTAATAAACCTATGCCCCATGATTAATTTGAAAGACCGAAAAGTCTTCTTCACTTATCCTGTAGTTATTACTTCACTGCCTAAATGCTGATAGGTTTTGATTGTTACGAGTGATAGCACTCTAAATAAGGTTCTGCATGCATGCCCCTCCAGAAAATAACTACTCGCAACATTCACGAAATGCATTTTTTTAGGACAAAAGTAGACCTTTGCCTTTGTCTTCAGTCTACCAAATGAAATAAATGATCTAAATTTACAGATGTTTCGCCGATTTGTGCGTACTAATGTGCAATAGACAAGGGATGCGAGTGAAAGAGGCAGTCTCTAATGCTGGGAGTAAACTGGGTCATTTGTGTGTACTAGGGAACGGCAGGGAGCCTCTGTACATGTTAGTGAAAGAGACGGTGTGCGAGCACTGAGTCACACAATACACAGCTAGCGAGAACAGAAATGAAATAGACGGTTTGTCAGTACTGTGGAGCCGTAGACAGCCTGTGTGAAGATGCGTGTGAAATAGACAATCTGTCAGTTAGGGAGTGGGGCTGCATGGTTACCATCATGCTGTTACTACAGAAAAACACGCAATATAGGCAGCAAATATCCACAGCAGGACTTCATCTCTCCCTCTCGCTCACTTTCCCTTTGTCTTTCGCTCGCTCTCGTTGTCTGTATTATGGAAAATATTCATTGCAGTTCTATGTGTAATGTACGTATAGTTAACTTCTAGTTAGATTGTGGAAATTCCATGGCCTATGTATACAGAGCCGGATGGCTATAGATAGAATATTCTGTAGACATTCTCGGCCTAGTGCAATCAAAGCACTTGAAGAAATCCGAGTGAGAGGAAATTTGCTAAGAAAGAGAGAGAGATTGACTACATTGTACAGTGGCATCGGCATCTCGCGCGCGCGAATCCATGCAGCGCGCGGCGCCGTTCTCCGCTCCTCGGGGATTTCGATATTCCTCCTCACTGCGCCTCGTCGGGAATTTAGATGAGTTTTTACTCATTACTAGGCGTTATATGATTCATCGGCTGATTATCCTTGCGGCAAAGCCACCTGCAGGCAATTCTCCCGGCGACCGGGTTTGTTGGTAAGCCGTTGGAGGAATTGGACAGGGAGGAGCGATGAGAGATGCTAGCCGAGATCCCGATTTTATTGACCATGTCTAGTCCAGCGACTGCTGGAGAGACCTGGAGGGCATATATTTGTTCACGGTCGAGGGTGTGAGTCCTAGTGAATGTGCCGTGTGCCGATTTGGGTTTCTTTTTTTCGGTTCATTGCGCATGCTCAGATGAGGACTAGTGTAAGTGCTGCAATTAAATGTGGAGCTACTGTCAATGACACTTGTGTCTTCAGAGTGGTGACTGCACATGTACGGTTGTGCAAAATGATTTGGCAGTGGCATTTGATTGCTTGCAGAATACGTATATATATATCACAAGAATATTGTTGAATTTCAATCTGTATGTCCTAGATTGGTATAGTTGTATCTAGCACCTGTTCATTACATAAATGCACCCACTAACCTCGCAGCCATAGTCTAGACATTATCTGGCAGCAGTGTGGCATTTGTGCGCGTTTTAGTATTATGGTATTTCCATGGCTGCAATAACACATAGTGACAGCAGCTCGTGAAAAGAGTCATCATCGTAGCTATCGTTGGTAATGATTGCATGCAGTAATGAATGAACTCGCTCTTGCGAGAATACGTAGTCGCGAAAACTTTGTTATTACATTGTAATGTAACACAAACAAAAACCTGCCCAGGGTTGTGTGTGCGTGCGTGCGTGCGTGCGTGCGCGCGTGCGTGCGTGCGTGCGTGTGTGTGTGTGCGTGTGTGTGTGTGTGTGTATGCAGCTCATGAGCTCCACACGTGTGTGCGCGTAAAGGGCAACCGCATCTCGCGCATGCACGGTGTCGCGAAGGCCAATGCCTGCAGGCATTTCCCATTCTCATCGTGTCCTTCGACGACGCGTGAGTTTAATCGGCGAGGTTGAAAATACGAGACACGCGAGATGTTTCTCATCACGTCGCTCGGTCGGTGTTTGCTAGCAGCGAACGTCTTCTGGGAGTATATCATCAAGAGCCCGTAAACTATCTCTATGTTATGGTTTACGTTATGGTTAAACTGTAACTAGTTTATGGGCTCTTGATGCGACCGAAGACTGAAGACATCGGTGGTTTTGTGGTCCCTTGGGAATCAGCTTCGGTAACCAGCGTTAGTGCTGATAACTAGTGCGCATGAACAGATACAACTGCAAGCTCTTGTTGAAAGTTTGAAATTACTTATCAGGATTTGTTAAGATTTGTAAGATGATGTGTGAATGCATGTCAGAAAATACTCATAATTAATGTATCACACATTATAAAATAAGGATATTACTAATTTTCTTTAGGAGGTAGCTGCCCCACTATAAAGGGTATTGTTTTGTTATATATATATATATATAGAATGTACATGTGCTTTTATTTCTGGTTGTTATGACTAATATCTAACCTGGATGATGCATGCAGCAATGGTTATGTAGTGTTGTCTAGCATCTAGCTACGTGTAAATACTAGCCCATCATATCAAGTTCTCACATGTTTTACTTTTTTTAGGTTTCTAAAACACTTAGAGGAACCGTGGATGGATGACCACTTTCGAATCTGTTCACTACACATGGTGCAAAGAAAGTGAAGCCATTTTCTCTCCGGTGAATATGTGCACTTGCTAGTGTCCCGTGGCGTTTAGCTGATACACAATAGTGTCGAAATGGGCCAAAAACTAAGGAAGCTCCGGTTTGGCCGCAGCGAACAATACTCCGTTGCGGACACCACAGAGCCAACACCTGAACAGCAGCAGAACCAACAGCAGCAGCAGCAGCAACAGCAGCAGCAGCAGCAGCAGCAGCAGGAGCAGCAACAGCAGCAGCAGCAGCAGCAACAGCAGCAGCAGCAGCAACAGGAGGAGGAAAAACAAGAGGAAGAAGTCCAGCAGCCCCAGAAGGTAGAAGAACCGCCACCTCCTCAGCTGGAACAGCAGGATGCTGAGAATGCTGCAGCTGCTAAAACAGAAGACGAGGCTTCACCACAACAAGAGGAGGAACAACAGGTGAGGGAAATATGCTGCCAGAGCGCACATGTTAGTGTGTGCACACGTGCGTTTGCTTTCATGTGCGCGTGCGTGTTCGTGTGCGTGCGTGTACGTGTTCATGTGCATGTGCGTGTTCGCTTGCGTGCGTGTTCGTGTGCATAGTGCATACTATGCGCGTGTTTGTACGGGTGTTCGATATATGTGAAAACTAGATCAATTAGAATTCAGCTACAGATGTTATAGAAATGCAAGGCATGAAGTGTTTTTATATAATCTCACTCATTCCTACCATACGGCACCAGCTAAAAAGTTTGCATTTGCTTCCAAAAAAACGTTGAAGAAACCATACTATAGACGGTAGGTAATCGGTGTGCGCATTCTCTTTTTTACTCGCGCACGTTTAACAGGCTTGTACATAATTCAGTGGTGTGCATAACGACCTATATTTAACCTGCGTGAAGCCGCAACCGAAACCCAGTGCACACCTAGAGATTTTTTGGGGCGATTTTCCGTCGCTAGCGACCACGGCCCGGCCAGCAGTCAGAGGCGTACGTACGCAGAGTTAACGTTTCACTGCTACACGTACTCGACTAATCAGCTTATTAGAGTATAATTAGCTTCCCCAGCGGTGGCTGTGTTCTGGCCATCTCCTCAGCCCCTCGTAGGCCCTCTCACGTCCGTGCGCTGTATGTTCCCTCGGCAGACAACCCGCTCATTAGTACTTGTGGTGATTGCCGAAGCTGCTTGCGCTTCCAATTAAATTCGATTTCACTTTTTATAGGCCGCGTTTTACTTCCGTGGCGCTTACGATTGCAGCGTATGGTATATATATCATATGTGTAACAGCAGCATCCAGTGGCGTATAGCTTTTGATCTCGAAGAGCAAACGATCGTTGAATGTGTGTCTCACTGGTTCGAGCAACCGGAAATGTGTGTGTGCGCGCACGCGCGTGTGTGCGTGTGCGTGCGTGCGTGCATGCGTGCATGCGTGGGCGTACGGCAACCACACTGGATAAATAGTGAGGTGAGAAGAGGATCTGGATGGGATTATTGACTTTAGGTGCAATAGGTTTAACTCTGCCTAGCACTGTAGCAGCTTCAGCAATTCGTGTTTGCTCAGGCGTGTTCACCTCATAGCTTCGTATTTTCATTAACATTCTCACTGCTGTGCGGGTCATGCGAACGTGTACAATGATCCCGCGTAGGGCCTAAGATAAAATAGTGCTTGTTTCCCCTTTACCGACCGACTCGCCAAAACGCCGCTACTCGACACATTTTATTGGCCGATTAAAACAAAACAAAAATTATTTCGTTTCGCCAAAAAAAAAAATCTGTTTTTCGTTTCGCAAAAACATATTATACACAAAACAGAATATACAATATTTTGACAATATACATACACATCTTGTCAAAACAAAATAAAAAAGATTTTTCACCTACCTACCTACTCGGTACCCTGAGAGGGTAAAGGGGAAACAAACAATTTTTTAAGGGTGGCCTATATATAGACTCGTAGTCATTAGTTCATGCTGAAGCCAACGTCTGATCACGCACGCGCATTACCTGAAGCCCGAGCAGTTAGTTGTTATCAGGAGTGTCATATTTACATATTATGACATTGCTGTTAATATTGGGCAATCGATGTGGTTCATGGTCCGATTAGTTTCGGTGGGACTGGGGTCAGGGATTAGTTTCAATATATAACGGGAGTGTTGTCATTGTCAAGGCGTTGACTGGAAGCGTTCCACGTGGTTTTTTCACATGTGGAAATCGAAAGTGAAACCTAACGTGTTCGTAAGTCATGATCGTTGATTGGTCAACAGTGACGTCATTGCTCTATGTTGAATAGCAACTGGCAACCCCCACACGCACGCGCATGTACGCGTGCACGCACGTACTTATGCACACAGACAGACACTTCTATTTCGTGACCAAGTATGTATTATTTTGACTGCTTAATCAAAACCTCGAAGTGAAATGTCGGAGTGTGAATCTTGTTTTCTCAGGCGTGTGTTCTGAAATTGATCTATTTTCATATTGGCACTTCTTTGGCATCTGACATCCATTTATTTGATATGGAATACAACATTTAATGCTAACAAACATTGAAACCCTCAAAGCAAATTAATTGAAATTATTTCCTTCACAAAAAACGAGGTTTTGAGGGAGAGCACTCACTATAGTGTGGTGCGGTTGAACTAATGTCGTTTAAAAATGTGAAATCCCAGAATCTGTGAAATCCCAAGCTTTGGAAAGATATATCATGCTATTTGGCAAGGCTATTAATTAATTAATAACGCATGCTGTATTCGCTATAGCGCAGTGAGGCTTTCTCTGATAAGTTTAATTGCTGTAATTGTCTTTTTCACGGTTGGTTTCACAGTCAATGAATCTAGTGAAATTTGTATTCTGTGCCAGTGTGGCAAGCAGATAGTAGTTGTCCATCACCGAAGGTAATTACAGGCTCCTAGGATGGCATGTTGATCGCAACTGTTGTCGTGTTTAACGTCCAGATAGTAATGGACGGATTTCGTTTAGGCCAAACAAAGTAAGTAGGTAGGTAGGGATTTTTTATTTTTTATTTTTATTAATATTAATATCCCTCTGATGCCATGCTATAAAGGGTGTAATAGTAGGAAAGTTAGTAACAATCCAGAACGGTTGTATAAAAATCTCAAGTTTTCTGTCAATCTCAATAAAAAAACTTTCTTTTGCCTTCTCATTTTCTAAAAAAATAGTCTAATAATCACGGGACTGTGAGGATCGACCGGAAACTACACCTATCTGTTTGCCTCTGCAACTAAAGGCGTTTTCACCTGCGTAAAGATCGGCAAGATACGAGACACGGACTTCACTTGGCTGGCAATATTTAATACTGTACTGCGTACGACCCACTAACTTTAGCCCCACGTTCTAAATAATACCATGTCTTATAGTTTACCCTGTCAGTGAAAGATTATACGCTGGCCTCGTGAAACTACGTAGAGAGAACTGTCGGCGAGACATACACCACACACCCCACACACATTCAACATCACACGCCCTGAACTCGCCGAGACACGCAAACGGGGATACATGCGCGCACGCATAACCACCACGCACGCCCATGCCATCACTTTCCCGAATACACGCATCGTGCCTGCGTGAGGAAAAAACCGTGTAAAATTCGCATACGCAAAAGCACAGCATTGCTTATAAGCGCAAAAAATAAACGCGAAATAAAGTAACGAATCTATTACTAAACCAAATCTAAGGTTTCTATACTCTCTCATCCTAATACGCCCGACAATCTCAGCAAACCGTCCAAGCTCATGCGTTCCTCAACAACCACGGACGCTGGCGCCGCCATTGCTGCCCGCTGCACACTGAACCACATAGAATAATATATATAATAATTCGGTATTTTTAGCATTATATATCAGGAGTAATGACAAATTGCATCAATACATTTTTAACCATAGCGTGTCTCATAACTCCTGATTTTATTGAAACGCTCCAAAGTGCCCTGTGGAGGGAAACGAAAGCCAAATAATTCCTACCCCGTTCGAATGTAATCAGTCAGGTGGGCGCAGACACGCGCTGCGTCTCTCATGTATTGTAGATGACTGCATACTACAGCGCTGCTGTAGCAGATCAAGAGGCAACCTGCGTATTCCCCAGCGAACTAGTAACCACCAGAAAGCTACATATATCTATCTATAAAGCTATCACGTAAAAAATGCCACTGTGTTACAGCGACAGAAAGAGAGAGGGTGGATGGAGAGAGAGAGAGAGAGAAGAGAGAGAGAGAAGAGAGAGAGAGAGAGAGAGAGAGAGAGAGAGAGAGAGAGAGAGAGAGAGAGAGAGAGAGAGAGCGAGAAGAGAGGAGAGAGAGAGAGAGAGAGAGAGAGAGAGAGAGAGAAGAGAGAGAGAGAGAGAGAGAGAGTAAGAGAGAGAGAGAAAGGGGGAGAGGAGAGGAGAGAGAGAGAGGAGAGCCTAGAGAGAGAGAGCGAGAGAGAGAGAGAGAGAGAGAGAGAGAGAGAGAGAGAGAGAGAGAGAGAGCGTAGAGAGAGAAGAGAGAGAGGCGAGAGAGAGAGAGAGAAGAGAGAGAGAGAGAGAGAAAAGAGAGAGAGAGAAGCGCGAACGGAGAGAGAGAGGAAGAGAGAGAAGAGAGAGAGAGGACGAGCAAGAGAGAAGATATAGATGGGGGAAGGGAAATCATGAGAATGATAGAGGGGGAGTATATTAGATAGGCGAAGACGATTTAGCAGCAGCTGATTCAAAGCGATAAAGAAGGGAGAAGAATGATGCGATAGAAGGAGATGAATTAAAGAAGGGTAAAAGCAGCGAGCGAGATAGAGAGAGGGAGAGAGAGGCAAGTATAAGTCCGAAGGAAAGAAAGGGGTGCAGAGCAAGCCAGCGGGCGAGAGAGAGAGAAGAGAGCTGAGAGATGAGAGAGAGAGAGAGAGCGAGAGAGAGAAGAAGAGAGCGAGAGAGAGAGAGAGAAGAGAGAGAGACAATCGCCGCGTCTGCGACGAGAAGAAGGTGGGAAATGAAGTGTTGAACACACGACGTATTTCAAAAACTCACTGCTAGTGCTAGTTTTTTTGTTTGTGATTTTGCAGGTTTTTCTTACAACAGCGCTGTATCGCGTCATTCTCCCCCTCCCTGTACATGTCACCGCAAACAATTTTGCACTGGCCGCGCGCTGACGGGGATGATCGATTGATCGCGATTTGCAGGCTGGGCGCACGCATATCAACCGCCGCTGCTGCCAGGGCGACTGTGCGGCGTGGAATCAATTCCTCCGCTGGCCGAAGCTTGCGGCAGGCAGCGTGCGCTGCTCAATGCAGGTTTCGTCGCAGCTAGGGCGGTGTGAAGCCCACTGCAGGGTTGCGAGGCTGCGGTTCTAATGAACGAAGTCGCAGTGCCGCGTGGTGCGAGTTTGCGCGGATGATTGCATTATTCCAGCCTGTTCTGCTAGCATGTATGACAAATACGACATACGCATATACGCTCTCCTATGACACTATCTATCA